CAAGGGAAATAAGTGCACGAAGGGGAGGTTGTAAACGAATTAATTGTGTGTGTGTATATTTGGCGAAACACGGGTATAAGTGAATGATTATTGCAACGAGAACTAAAAAAGGTAGATGCATCATCTCGGACTGAACTTTAGGTAGCCTAGTGATTCAAGGAGGTCAACAGTTGCTCTGGCTGATGTGGTAGGTGTTTTGGGACTCTTGACCTTGGAGACTGCAGACTGAAATTCGACTGCTTACACCACTGAGTCACATCTCTAACATTAGTGGAAGAGTTCATAATAACCTAACTGGCATCATTGGAATTCTTATTTAGTAATTGATGAGTAAATAGGTATATAATACATAAGTTAAACAATTCTATTGCTGCCACATGAATAAAGCTCATCTCAGACTCCATAGACCTGATTTTCTTTTTACGTCATCGTCGCCGCATAGTTATTGTCTGCTGATTTGTTTCATTGAAAGACTTTTTGAGAAAAGCTGGTCGTATAGAGTAAATAAGGCACATTAATTGTACTCATCGGTGTTCGGAGTTGGTAGTGAGTAGAATTAACTTACATGTCACGACATTAATACACTGTCTACATTTTTTATAAGTATGATCGGGCTTTCGATTAAATAAACCAAACGTTTCAGTTACGCGGAAAAATACAGAGCGCGGGATTTATCTAAACTACAGCTCTTATTAGATAATTGGAGGCAATCGGCAGGAAGTCTGGACATAGGTTTCGTGCTAATTGGTACTCATCAGCAAGGCGTATCAGCAACCCTGAAGGAACAGATTTCCCTTCTGAGGTTCGAAGTCGCGTCACCCAGTGAGTACTGCAGTCAGAGACGTTGCCAATGAGCTATTCGGGCTCGCGATTGACCTCTTGTAGGACTGTAGTGGGCATTTTGATTGGACACTAGTAACTAGTGTGACGTGTCTAGTCCTTTCTGATGAGTGCCAACTAGCACGAAACCTAGGTTCAAGGCTTCTTGACGCCGATTGCCTTCAACTATCTAATATCATCAAATGAATGTGCACCTTGATGGCGAGCTATCTAGAATGGTGGCCACATTGCAAAACCTAACTGATAGAATTCAGTCTGCATCAAAGTAAGGACTAGACACATCACATTGGTTACTAGTGTCCAAACAAAAAACTACAGTTCTCATGATGTTAGATATCTAGGATGAATACTGTGTGTCAATAAGAAAACAACAGACCTGCGCCATAAAAACGCTCCGCCGTCAGTAATAAACAAGCCCGAGTCAAAGGTGAAAGTGAGATTCGAAATCTAGTGGTTGAATTTAAATGTCTGAACTAGGCAAATAAAAAATCCCTTATCACTAATGGATGACCCAAGATCACATTTCAGAGCAGTACGAAAATAAGTTAAAGAATCAAAACGGTTGAAAAATCAACCATGAAAAACACACAAGGGTCTTTTGGGATGTCTAGGATTCGTAAGCGAGTCAGTCTGTGTTCATCCAGCATTGTTTAAAGCCCTGTGTTCACAAAGCTGAAACAAATTATTATTGGTTTCCTATATATTAACGTGATGTTTTTACATGACCTTGAACAGCTTAAAAGAGTTCCATTCTTTAGTGGATTTTCTGGAAGTTGACTCCAGAATTGATACGAAGATCTGAAAAGTTAAGACACCCTTTTTATGTTAATAAAAGTTCGAAATCAAGTGTAACGTTTATGAAATACTAGTGATTGACTACTCTTTTTCTGTCCTTCTTTTTCCCAAAATATAACTGTTCGTATAGTTTGTAGTGTGTATCAGAGAATATGCAAGTTAGTCATTGACAATAGTAATCAAATAATGAGTAAAAAGGCGATATTTTCTCTATAATCTGGGACAAGAACAAAAAGTGAATAAATTCTCACCAGTGTCTTGTGCATATTCTGTCGTGTGTGTCAGCCTTTTGAAACATTACTGTCGTCATGTCTTGCTAAAACAAAATCTGAGTGGAAGACAGTTGTGAAAAACAGTAGCACTTATTCTCTTGGTATCTATTGGTCACTTTTGTATATGCATTCGGGTTTTTAACCGTCATACCTTACTGGAATCCATACAATTCTTACTTTTCAACTATATATTATTGTAAACTGTATAACCCCAGAGTCCAACACAGTAACACGAATGTGTAAATACCATACCTTCACCGAAATCTTGGACACAATATTTATTGTATAGTTTTATAACGTTCTGTTGATCATTTTATTCTCCGTCTAATTCACAATTGTCAATTTTCTCCATTAAACATCCTTTACGTTTCCTGTGGTTTCTGTGTTACAAGAATTGCCTTTTAAAATGTTTTAGCATTCTGTGTAACTTTGTAACAACAGAAGACAAGGGCCAGGGAACAGGTACTTTCTTAAGGAAATCAACACATATTTATAGATTTTCATGTACATATTATAAATTATTATTAGCAGGAAAACACAGTCTTCTGATCGGTTGTTTCTCACACAAAGTTAACCTTGCATCTCTTTATGACTGTTTCTTGAATGTCAGACCATCTATATGTGAACTGTATCCGCCTACGGAAAGCATTTGCTCTCATTTTTCTCACGACCGATATTGGGGACTTAAACATTGACGTAAATTACTGTCCACCAATCTTGACTAACAGCCAGCTCCCACCACACTCGTCCCCCGTCAAAGACTTGCGACTGAAGTTTGTTCGGTCTTCTTGGTTCTATGGGCTCGCTCGTTTGTGTTGCTGTATGGAATCTCGGCACTTGCTGATGTTCACCTGTTTCTCTTTGTTTACCATTGCGATTGTGTCTGCGTAACCCCATCTCAAAGTGAACATATGTGGTCCTTCCCACTTTGGAAACTGTTTGAGTGCCCCTGTCGCACATTCGTCAGTATTTCGATTTACACTTTCATATGCTGCTTTCCCCGACCTTCAAGCAGAGTCTCAAGTAGCATCCTCATCGCTGACAGATCTTGGACGCCACTCAACTGCGCAGAGGCCTTGAAGTCCTGCCCAAAGATCCATATGTATCCATCAAAAACTGCAGGGTATAGGCTTTTCATTTGCCGGTATCAGTGACACCAAATGTAACAACAGAAGACAAGGGCCAGGGAACAGATCCTTTATTAAGGAAATCAACATATTTATACATTTTCATGTACATATTATAAATTATTGTTAGCAGAAAAAGAGTCTTCTGATTGGTTGTTTCTCACTGAAAGTTAATCTTTCATCTGTTTGTGTTGGTTTCTTGAATGTCAGATCATCTATATGCTAACTACATCCGCCTACGCAGTCTTTGTTCTCATTTTCTCACGATCAATATTTGGGACATAAACATAGATGCAAATTACTGTCCACCAATTTGGCTAGCAGCCAGCTCTCACCACAACTTGATTATATATCTGATAACTTTGAGAATATCGATGTCTCTTTCAATGCCTTTCATAAACTTCCCAAATTGAAATAGGTCATATAGAGCAAAAATAGCATACACACCCTTGGATTTAATCCTTTGGACATGGATACAACACTGTGTTGTTACAAGACATTGGGAATACCACAGGTTGACTATAGATTTCTTTAGTCTCTAAAGCATGGTGTTTTGCATTACAGTTGTATAATTGGACTACTGGTAAGCGTTGGCAAGATCACAATTTCGTACATTTTCAGATATACTTTTGTCTGTTAGAAAGAATACAAGCTATAAAAACTGAAAGTTATACTGAATCATATCTATAAATTAAAACCAATGATAGTTGAAGATATTTTCAAGTGGAATGTATTTCAAGTTTGATTGTGGATTGGCATCAGTTAAAGAACTTTTGAAGAGAAATGAGTACTGGACAACTGTTTCGCCGTAGTTTGGACTCTTCATCGGCGCGCTGGAAATCATGGCTCATTGGATTCTGTCGCAGTGGCTGAACGGTCAATGAGCTCACCTCGTAACCGGAGTGTCCTGAGTTCCTTGCCTGGTGCGGTAATAGCTGCATATTGCTGAAAAGATAGATTTAGGACGAAATGGCTGTTCAGTACTCCCTAATTTTCAATGGTCCTCTAATTGATGTCACTCAGGGATCAATTCCATATTAGTTTGTTTATTAGATATATCACACAGTGAAACAGTATTATTTACTAGATGACGTATCGAACAAAATTTATTGTTCATAATCATACCAATTGTAATCACACGACTTTGAAATTTGAGTTTTATAGTTTTCTTTGTCTTCTCCTATTTGTCGTTGTTGGGGTAGTAGAATTTTTCAGATATCTGGGACAGGTGTTGAATCATTCCTAATACATGTATTTGCAGTTGATTCGATAAACAAAGCTTCTGTTATCAATCTCTCCCTCCAACCAACTGTGACATCTAGATTTTGACCCAAATAAGATAAATCTAGAGAATAGTTCAGCTACATCACTCACTACATGCAGTTACACACAACCATACAATAGGATGGGATAGGATGACACTTTTAAAATCTAATGTCACAGGGTATAGGGAGAGATTGATAATAGAAGCTTTGTTTATCGAATCGACTACAAACACGTGTAATAGGAATGATTCAACAGCTGTCCACCCAGATATCTGTAAAATTCTACTACCCCAACAAAGACAAATAGGAGAAAACAAACAAAACTATAAAACTGAAGTTTCAAAGTCGTGTGATTACAATTGATGAGATGATTATGAACAATAAATTTTGTTCGAAACCTTGTCATCCAGTAAATAATACTGTGATATATCTAATAAACAAACTAATATGGGATTACTTACTACTACTACCACAGTGCCCAAGTTTTACACATATATTAATATGACTCAGGGATCAACATTGAAGGCAGTCAAATTACCACAAACTAACGTTAGGATATATTTCTCAATAGCCAGTTGTCTTAACCCATTCACACTGCAACTTTTTGGATTTGTTTTTTTCTTTTTCACTCTGAATATTGTTGTTATTATTATGGCAGCACTTTTTACTTGCCCTTTTTTTTAATTAATGCTCTGTTTTAGAATGCCCTATACTACAGCACACTTCTTCTTTCACTGATTTTTCGGATAATGGAGAAAAGACGGACAAAGTCATTCAAATTGTATAATATACCCATACTTTACTGTAAAAAAAAATGTCCTGTTTCTTCATAATTATTCCATGCATCATGTGAAATTTCCATCCGTTTATATTTCTTTCATCATCAAAATAGAGTTGTTATTCGTTTATTTTCCCTCCTTTTTTTTCTCGCACATCGTTCATTATTCTTGATATTGTGCCATTCAAAGTTTGTTTTTAATCCTTGAAAGATTGAACATTAAAATGCTTTTTTTTTACTTGTTTGACGTTTTATTCGTTTAAAGTAGCTCTGTGAGTCGTCGTCGTCGTCTACTTCGTTATTTCATTGGAAATCATTTATTTTTTTCGGCAATAATAATCCTATGAATGTATAAGCATTTCGATAACTATTGAATTAATTCCTTTAAAATGGTGCTAATGAACACAAAAATACAAATTAATCACTCTGAATAACTGTTCTTTGTGTGAACATATTTCGACTAGTTTTCAGTTTATTATTTTATAATTATTTATGAAGGAGCACTAGTCTAATGAGGTTTTATGTATGTTCAGTTTAAGTGGGATGCTGTTTTACTAATCAACACCACAGTTTGGAAACATTTATTTCCCGAATGAAGCAAGGATCTAATGAGTTCGTTTAATTTTTGTAGAGCTCTTCATCTGAATACTCATATATTAATTATTTAAACGGAGAAAAAACTTGGTGCAATTATGGCACCAAAAAGATGCGCCACACTTGTGTGAGAGCTGAGATACTGCCTTGGCGCTCAGACCAAAGCAGGTGGTTTTCTTAAGGGGCCACCCCTCGAACCTTTGACTCGGAGTCTAATCCGCAAGGCAGCGAAGCAGCGTAAGGAGTTGCATTCCCGTGGTTGCCGGTGACTAATGTAGCTTCATACGTCATTTGATCCATTTGGATTCTGAAGCCCATGTACCCCTTCGTAATTGCTTTTAGTCTAACCGCTATCCAAACAACCTTCCTGACATGGTAGGACCTACAGGAACATGAGTCCAAGTCAGTTTAGTTTGTTGGGTCACTGCGGTATTTAAGCCCGACCACCGCGACAAGGTGGCAGTAGTCGGTCGGGATATATTATAAGAAATGCGTTGGGAAATATATGTCTGGTAAGAAAATAATACAATTAATCAACCATGCAAAAGACAGGTACGAATATTGTACAGGTTAATTTCCTATAAATAATAATGGATTACAGTACAGTTACATCACTGCGTATTCACTGGAGGGGAGTTCTGCGGGAATTCCATGAATTTATTGAATACTGTTTTATTAACATTTGTTGTTTGTTTTAAACTCATAGTTTCATGTCTTATGCTGTAAAATGCACTCGAGCTGACTTTAGATGGGTGTATTTTTAAGTGCATGCACGTCAATGTACACAAAATTAATCAAAAGTTCTTTCGGCGAAGAACCTAACCTTAGTTACGTACCTTTGAGTAGGTCTCATCATGTGCTGTGTATATTTCACAGTTGGATTATAGAATAAACATTGTAACCAATCTTTTTTGAATTCAAGTTGGATGGTAGTTCTTTTATAGCTTTTGTCAAACGCATTTCGAGGTAAATTTGGAGAATATTACCCCTACTCAAACAGTATTATTCTATTTCTTATTTGTGCACTCAACAGCAGTGCCATGGTTAGAGGAAAGTGACTAGAAACATTGTTGAGTGTGTTTGTAGGGATACCTTTGAGTGTTAGGGCAGAAAAAAAAACTTCTTGACTGGCTATCAGTAAATAGTTGTATGTGTGTGGTCCGCGTGAACGAGTCTGCTAGACGAAGGAAAGACGGCATCACCTATCGTTGTATTTTCATGGCCTCCGCTTACGCCCCAACAGACTGCAGTTCGGATGAACTAAAGGGTGATTTCTACCTGAAATTGTCTAATTTGCTGCAAAAAGCAAAACACTCAGATATAGTTGTTTTAGCAAGCAACTTCAATGCCCAAGTAGTGAAGTTGTGCCAGACTGAGAAGTACGCAGGTGATACGTATGGAGTTCCCTACGGGCGATCCGACAACGGTGATCGTCATCTACAGCCCGGCTCAGATAATCATCTGTTCCTTGTCAGCACTGATTTTAGGCACAAAGAGAGACGCTGTTTAACTCGGCGACCTCCATCACCAAATAAACGCTGGACTCAGATAGACCACATAGTGATAGGATATCGTTGGTGAGGGTCAGTAGAAGACTGCCGTTCCTTTTGGAACACATACGTAGACTCCTATCACGCTCTGGTTCGCGCGCGTTTATGTTTACGACTAAGCGGACATAAGAAATTCCTGGCAGCGAAACAGTTACGTCCCCAACTAGATCACGACCCTGAGTCTATTCAGGGAAGAAATAGCGAGAAGTGCATCTGAGGTCAGCAGCAGGACTTCCCCTGAGGTAGCCTCGCACAACATACAGTTAGCTGTAGACACAGCTTTAAAATCTGTCAATAACCTAGAACCCAAAGTTAGTGAGAGCCATTTGATCTCTGCCGCCTCATCCGAGCTGATTGACGCAGGAAGACTGATTCCAGCGAGCTCCGATTATGATGAGGAGAGAAGGCCACTCAAACGAAAACTAACAAGAAGTCTTCGCAACGACCGTGAACAGTGGTGGGCGACAAAAGCGAAAGAGATGGAAAAGGCATCGACGATGGGTAACACCAGGCAACTATTTAGGGAAACAGGTGGTAAAAGGCAAATGATAAGTGAAACAATCTCTGAGGAAAATGACACCATAATTAACCCCCAGGAGAGACGACTGGAACGCTGGAAAGAACACTATGGGGAGCATTTTAAGTGGCCTACAGCCACGGTCAACCTGCCGAACATCCAACACCTCCCTGAATGGGATATAGACACAGGTCCTCCGTCCCTAACTGAGGTTTCTAAAGCTGTCACTAGTCTGAAACAAGGTAAAGTAGCAGGACCTGATGGGAGACAGTTTACTGCCTGCATTAACTGAGGTACTAGGCAGCGTGTGGGAATCAGAGGAAGTCCCGTTCGGTTGGTGTAAGTCACCGATTATCCCCATATACAAGAAGGGAGACAAGTTTTCCTGTGATAATCACAGGGGATTAGCTTGACATGAAGTGATGACGACTAGTGGTGTCCGTCAGGGATGCCCATTATCCCCTTTTCTATTCAATTTCATCATAGATGTACTTATGGATTTAACCCTAACTCACTTCAGAGACTCAGGGATTGACTTGCTACCAAGGAATAATCTCGTTGACTTGGAATATGCAGACGATATAGTCCTTCTAGGTGAGGACGCTAAAAAATGCAGAGTCTTCTGAACACCTTGATCTGCAATCTGCGAATGTTTGGCATGCGATTCGCTCCCTCTGTAAAATGTTAGATGTAACAGGACTGGACTACTCTGACTCCTAGTTTAGAAATAGTGGGTTAAGTGGTAGAGCACGTTGACCGCTTCACTTATTTAGGAAGTTGCATCATCCAGGGCTAACGGGTTGATCTCTGACGAAATCTCAGAACGGATACAGAGGGCTCGTTTCGCACATGGCAGTTTACGCGGTCTGTGGCGTAGACGTGATATCCGACTGGCTGTCGACCAAAGGGCGGGAGTACTGCTTGGCAGTCCACTCCGTCCTCCTTTATGACCAGCTGTGAGACCTGGCCATTGAGAGTGGAAAACATGAAAAGATTAGCTATCTTTGACCATAGGTGCTTGGGCTCTATCTCCCGTGTGAAGTGGTATAATAAGGTGAGCAATATTGGGGTTAGACGTCGAGTGCTAGGTAGGTGGAAGGGGAAATCAATCGACAAGGCTGTGAAATTACATCGACTGAGATGGTCAGGACATGTGTTACTGATGCCTAGTCATCGATCGCCTTCCTCGACGGGAAATGTTAGCGGATATAGGGTCAGGCTGGAAAAGAGCTAGAGGCGGTCAAACCAAAACATAGGTTCATCAGACAATGAAATCCACAAAAGTTAGCTTAAGCCAGCCACGTAAGAAGGTGTAGACTTCCTGACTGGTTGGGGTCTCGGGACGGTAAAAACCAATGAAGGCTGGAGACAATTGGTGATATGGCTCAAAATCGTTCTCAATGGCGCAGATGCATCCACTCCTTGTAACTTATGATTTCCAATAAACCTATATTGTTCTTCGTTATTACTATTCCTTTGTCTCACATCTCTGTTTACTGTCTCTATTTTGCATTTCTTCTACTTTCTTCTGCTGCTTTGTGTGGTACATGGAGTGTGGCGACTTGAAGTGCCGCACATATGTGCAAAGTTCTGTGTCGCAAAAAGGCAGACAGTTTTTCTTCTAAGGAGCTAGTCTTTTAGATCTATTGCTCCTGAGATTATGGAAATGGTTCTTGATTGCAGACGAAGTGATATAACGAGGTGCTGAAAGTACTGATCAGTTAAGTAATATCTCAGATGGAGAAAATGGTTAATGACTAATAGGTGTGTTTAATGAAATCTGTATCTGCATCCTGTTTCAGTTCAGTTAGTACTCGAGTTTTTCCATTCCCAGGCATCATTACTGGTGGAACTGCAAACCACTGATCTGAGCACATGATTCCCAGTCACTAGAACACAGGTTCCAACCCCTCTCAATCTGTTGAGGTTCGGGTTACCAGTTAGTATCGGTAGCCTACATTGGTCATACGTATGTGAATGCGAGTGACAGTTGAGTAACATTGTGTGATGATCATCCGTCTAGTACATAATGATGAACAAACGATTAAGCTCTTAATAGCATAATTTAATATTTATACATCAGGGAGTGATAAAACAAAGATGTAAGTTATCAAGTGGTATAAAACTTCTATCTGAAATTCGAATTAAATAAATTAACGAAAATAAAAGACAGATTCAGCGAAGGAAATTTTCTTTATTGACGAAATCATCTTCAGAGGCTGTACAGTCGTATTTATACTTACAAAAATATATAGTGGTCTATTATTGGGTAGCAGGGAGTGACATAATTTATATAATT